CTCAGTCATTCTCAGTAAAAGGAGACGATGGATTATGCTTCTGACAAAGCAACCTAAACAAAAGAAAAGATTTAATTAAAGTCAAATTCTTAATCCCATAACAGTGATATTACTTATCTCCATGCAGCTGGCATATCTGTCCTTGCCTTTTCAAAGAACCTTGAGAAGTCTAACTTGGAAAGGAAATCAAAGTAAGTCTGAAGATGTTTTGCACTTAGCATAACCAATTAAAAAAACCCAAACCAGCTTATACTACAAAATATAATTTCAATAAAAAGGTGCCACTATTAGCTTCCCACTTCACAATTAAATATATTCGTATTTAATCCTTCAAGCAAAGTGCAGGTCTCCAAGGCAGTACTGAATAGTGACTGTTTCAATAGCTTTGTCATTGTTTTGATTTAATTATGATTAACAACCATTAGAATTATCATGTTTGTTCAAAGTTTTCAGTCTGTTGTGATGAAAGATAAATAAAACTACTCAATGCTATCTATTCATGCTTCATACAAAACGGTGCAAGTAACTTCAGAATTCTGGCAGAAGAGATGCATTACAGCACTTACTGAACTGCAATACTCCACTTCTGTAGGAGAGAAATCTAACTCTGACTCCGAGGATCTACAAAGTACATATATGTATTTTGTAGCACCCATCTGTACTGTCCACAATGAAACACCCATGTCTGTTTGAAAGGGAATTAAATCTACATCTCCAGAGATAAGAAAAACCAGCCTGAACTATGCAGAAAAGGAGGGTTTCTATGTCTTCTTATCGGAGTCAACATTTTGTTATTGCACAGACTCACCTTTTCAGAGCAGAATTCTGTATTGCTTTGCCTCAGTTTGCTTGGTCTGCCCTTAATAACTGCATAGCAGAACATTGTAATCACCATCACAAAAAGAAAGTAACTGGTATGCATGAGATGCAGGTTTATTAGAGAGCGATCATCCTGCACAGAGAATTAAAACAATTTACTGACAATGCACCAATAGCTGCCATTTTATATTAAAGCAATAATCATCAGATCAGCACAGAAATTAGTTCATGAATCAAGTTTCTCCCCTTTGCACAGCTGGCATAGAAATGAAAGTGATTCCTAAGGCCAAAATGTTCCTTAAAAATCTGTACTAGAGATCTCTTCCCATATACTGGCAGTGTCTTTGATCAAACGATTCCAAAATATAAATGTTAGTTATTAAAAGCTGTGAGGCACATGGAGGTTACATGAAGACCAGCATGCCCACCAGGGGTAAAGCATACCTAACTCTGTCTCAGCCCTTGCACTACCTAATAAACCAGCACTGAATATGACTATTTTAGGACATAAAGAGAACCATATTCAATTAGAACAGAGCTAAGCATTTATTCAACGTAACATATAAAAACACCGTGGCACTTACATCTGGAACTATAACAGTTAGCTTGGGATTTAAAGCATGATACACTTTTCCGATTGCTCCTTTGTAACACCAGAAAGGGTTATAATCCTGTGCATATTTTGTATTAGAGTCCCTTGCTGTGGTAAAGATCTTGTACCAAAGCGTAGCATTGCTGTATGTTTCAGGAATACAATGTGGTGGCTGACTGCAGAAAAACAGAAATAATTAGCACCCCAATTGCCTTTCTCCATGTTCAATAAGGCTAACTTTTAGAACTGAGTCAAGCCCAGTCTTCTCAACAGCAGCATAAACCAGGGTTTTATTTTGGACCTTCAAAAACAACAACAAAACCAAAGCTTAACCAAAAGGGTGTATAAAACCCATATGATTCCTATACTAAGATTAGAATTTAACTGCATGTTGTTCCAGTAAGTCAACAACCCATAGCTTAATTAGAAAAACACTGGTTTTCATAAGGCTTCATAGTTATGTGAATCTATCTGGTGGTTCTCCAGGGTATATTGAATAGTGTCAGAGAGTCTAGAGAAGACAAAGGGAAACTATTTTGATGAAGGTCTGTACCCGCTGGGGTATGGCAGCAAAGCAGCATTAGGCTTACGCCGATCTCTCGGCAGGGAAGATGATAAGAACCTTAGAGTCAAGCCTTAGCTCTCACACAAGGTAATGAAACTAAATTATAGGGTATCTTTCTTAAATAGTCACAAATTATTTTGTTCCTAGTGAAGCTTAAATCACAGGTAGCATGTTGAAAGGCAGGTAGGGGCTACAGTTCAAAACATCCACAGAAAGAGTCTAGTGTTGCTAAAAGACAGCAAAAGTCTTAGAGACTCGAGACAGGGTTTTTACCGTGAGGGAGGGCAGGCAGGTACATAATTTCCATGTTCATCAGGAAGTAACAACCTCAGAGAAACACCTGAGCAACTAATCACCCAGTAACCAGTCAAGGAAGGAGTGTTTAAAAAGCACTTACACTGTAACAGGAAATACATTGCTGGCTGCTGTCACAGTCATGCAGGTTGTGAACACAACCTGCTCGCAGTGGCCATGAAGAACGCAGTCATCTGAGTTCCAGGCAGCCGGCAGGGTGAATGTAATATTTATCTCCTCATGGGATTCTCTGCCTTTGAGAAAGAGAAGGAAAGCTGCTTTTCGTTCACAAAAGTACCTGAGCAACAATCACTAGGATAAGGACAACACGCAAATGACTAAGGCAGCAACCATAACCCTGAATCTGCGCTTTTGAAGTCGTCCAGGGTCTTTACTATCAACAAAGAGAGCAAAAAGAAAGTTAAAAAACAAAACAAACCAAACCACACTACAAAAACGCCAGCTGCTAGTCTTTCTAATCTCTCTTGCCCCCAGAAGAAGTGGGGTCATTAGGCTCCTTTCAGAAATTAAAAACTCACTATTTATAAGTGAATTCATGCATGTTCAGAGAACTTTATTGGAAAGTAATTCACATATCTTTAGCCTTTCTCCTCCCAAAGACTTTGTTCCACATTTGCGTTTTCTGACACTTACTTTTCAAATTGGAGATTTGTGTAGACAAAAACGTGCTAGTGGATATTGAACTGCAGATTAAGTAGTGTACATTAACTCCACGTGGATATATTCATACTGAAAATAAATCCAGACTACTGGAAATGGAACCTGCATTTGATAGCTCTTAAAGCACTAACAAAATAACAACAACATAAAATACAGTAATACAGATTGAAAACTACAGCAAATGTCTCTTCACAGGTCTCTCGGGTTCAAGACAACTTCAGGCATTATTATAAAGTGCAACCCTTGCTAAGAGCTAAAATTCAATGAGGTTCTATTATCAATTTCTACTAATTTTCTACAATCTCCTGTCAAAATTTATTGACAGGGCAGCCACATAACAGATCAGTCTCTTCACACCGCAGAAATTGTAACCATCCTATTTGTTGCCGTTTGCAATATTACAGCTTATTCATGTATGCATTTTAGATAAACTCTATTTTTTTCAGAGAACATGCTACTTGATCTCTAATGTATATACATTAATGCCTTTAAAGTGCGAGTTAAGGACTTGAAGATGTATCAAAATGTATCAAGAACTGAAGATAGTCACTGTAGAAGCTTTTCCTGCTTGGAATTTTGTTGGCTTAAAAACTACCCTCCGCTGTCGTTAGGTTAATCATTTAAAACTGCAAAGCCTAATCTTGGCAAACCTGCAGGTTCTTTTCCATTCTAAATGCAGGGAAAAGTTTTTCTAGCAAACAAGTGAAGGGCTCTACATAGGAATAGACTCACGACACATCTGGAAACAAGATTTATCTCACCAATAATAAGCTGGTGAGTTTTCATTTGATTATATAGTTATCATTCAAATTTATAAAGGTCAAGTTTTGCATACCTGAGAGCCCAATTTGGTGTCCAAAAATTGTGGAACTTAGATGTGTGACATTGCGAGAATATCCGCCAAATGGTCTGAGCGGGTCCAGCGTCAACGTGATTGTAACAGAGATGTTTATTGGACCAGAGTCCTCAAGAGTTTGTGGAGACTGTGTAGAAGATCTCGCCTGTCCGCTAGTCACAGTACTTTCTGGAGTTGTGGTATCGTTGATGAGATGCTTTAAGGTTTCATTCTCAGATATACAGAAGTCCAAATCATTAAACCTCAGAAGGAAAGTATTCCAGTCCTTAAAACAAATGTGAAAATTTCAACCAGATTAGCAAGTTAACTCTTGGCTGCCACTTCTCTAGAGCAGTGCAGACCTTGACACATACCACCCCGCCCACAGTTCCAAGCCATTTAATGAAAATTACAAGCACAAATAACCACCCTGACTGTCTCAACAATGGGGCAAGTTGTTTACAAAAGTTATATGTGTTCAATCACAGTCACTGCCTGACCGCTGCTCACAGCGGAATATCCTCCTTTAAAATACAGAAGGAATATACTAACTTGGTCCGTTCTCCCCATGCTCAGGGTATGAGCTGTTTCTAGCAAGGTTTCCCTCGTAACAGAATAGTACTACTAGATAAGATCAGAAGTTTCACAAACAAGCTAGCTGACACAACAGAAGAAAACGAAAGGCTCCTAGCCATAGTAGGGAAGATCCATGTCAGATGATTTGGCCTCATCTTCAAACTAAAAAAAGACTATTCAAACATTCATACCAATAGCCTCTTTCCTTACAAAATTAGAGGCAAGTATAAATGAAGACAATCTCCCATAAGACTCTGCACACTCCCATGAGAGGGTTCTTGGGAGAAAAAACCCAACTCATTAGCTTTGGGTATGTTTTTCAGACTAGCATTCCCACAGTTTAGCTCACAAACTTTTTGTACCTACCTCTGTCATTTCTGGTGACTTGATCTCCTTGATTTTGAAGAAATAACCCAGTGTCAAAAAAGCTATTGCCATAGCACTTACACTGATCATAAAGACCACGAGCGGAGGTCGACTGCTGATGTAAACCTTCAGGTTCTCCAACAGGTTTATGTTCAACATTATTCTGATTGTTCACCTAAAAACAAAGAATATTGCAACAGAGTGACTGGGCTGTGTGTGTTACAGGGTGGGGGCTGGTAGATTACATAAGACCGAAGTTTGACAACAAAAAATGGAATCATATACTAAAATGAGATTCAATTATATGACTCTGTACTGTTCATTGAACACAGACTCAGTATGCCTTAAATAAAGCACAAATCAAAACACGCTTGACTTCACCTTCTCAGCACCTGAAATTGCCAGTTAGGAACAGATTTTAAGAAACGAGGACAACTTCTAGCACAGCCAAATACCGCTGATAAGCAGTGAAACCAGTTCTTTTCTTTCCCACATACCTAGGCAGGATATACTCTGCTACACTTTAATTCCAGTAATATTTGAATTTATCAAATTACAGTGCGGATGGAGTTGTAAGGCAGCCCACAGATCAAACTTTGTACATCCCTGCATATACTTTCAAAACTGAGGCTGAAACCTTAAAGATCCACCTTTCCCCCATCCCTAGGCCCAAAGGACCAGACCTTCAAAATGGGATCCGAAAAGCAGCCTACATCATTTTAGGCCTCTGAATCAAGAATCGTAACAACTGCGTTCAGGTGGAGGCTGGAAGACTCCTTTTTTTTTTTATCTGATTCTTGCAGGATCTAGAGAACTTTTGCTAGAGTCTGTAAACAAAGAGAGTATCTTATACCTGAGGAAACATATTGAATCATTAATTTTTGTCCAGAATATTGCACCTGATTCCCCTTCTGAATTTTCTTTTCATTTGCAGAGCAGAAGAACCCAAAGTTTACTGTATCTGCTTCCCCACCTCCACTCACAACAAAAAGCTAACAGTCCAGTGCTAAAGGGCAGCCTTGCGGCATCTACTTCAGAAGCTTGGCAAGGAAGGAACTTCAAGCAAACCTCTTATCTTTGTCTTGCCTACAATCCGATTGAAAAGGCTTTTAACCCCAAATAAACTAGAAGGGCAGCAACTGTTCCTAGCAATGTGTTGCTTATCCCCAAAATTCATAGGAAAAGGCAAGCTTCAAGACTAGTATTTAAAGAATTCAGCACTGCAATGGTTAATGTGTGAGCATTCACACAGATCTGATAACTTTTAATTAAGTCAGGGACTCTGCTCACTGCAGGTGTGGCTGATTCTCACTGATTCTTATTAGAAGCACCCCTCATTTACAATCCAGATGTAGCACGGCTGAAGCCATGGTAAGTCTGAGGGTGAGAGAGGGACAGGTTTTGGAAAAGAGGGCAAGGGAGGGAGAGCAATCTTTGATCTGATCTACTGATTTGAAAGAAAGCAAGAGAAAAGGACAAGCTTTCAGACAGAAGTCTTTTTCAGATCCCACAATGTACAATGATCACAACTTTCTCGCGTATACTCAAGATTTTACTGGCAGAAACACTTCTGTTATTCTTACCAGAAGGAATATTGACAAAACCTGCAAAAGTGCTCCAGAGAGGGGAAAATTCAACTCACTGAGAAGAGACCCGAGATCTGTGGCAGTAACACACACCAAGCTGTGCGTGCTGACTTTCCCCGTCTCCTTCCCCACACACCTACTTGCTCGCCTCAGTGAAATCTGCTGAAACAGGGCTCACTCCAGAGCACAAGATCACGTCCTGGGTTTGCTATTTTGCACCATCAATCAATTTGCATCCACTCTGCAAAGACCAGGAAAGCCAGCAACTTTTTATCAGCAAGAACAACTGGGTGACAAACACCCCTACAAAAATACGTAGCGTGTCTGAGAGTGAAAAGCACGGTGCAGAGAAAAGATGGAGAGAAGAAGAGAGGAAAGAAAAGGTGATGACAAACGTGCACCTTACCAGAACTTCTTTGTCCAAGACCAGCTGTGCTATGGCCGAACAGGCCAGTGAAGGTGTCAGAAGAAGGCAGGAATAAGAGGGAAAGGGAGAGCTGGTGTTGGCAAGGCTCATGCTGGGTGTGATCCGCACTTCTGTATGTTCTGCCTCCTATCTTGTTACTGGCAGCAAATTTCTTAAATGAGCCCTAGTTAAAAATCCCAAACACTCCATCTAGAAACATTGGAGACACATGTGGAGATGGAAAAAGATCAAAAGATAAACCAAAACCAGAGTTGTATTCAGTGTTCCCTTCTGAATTTCCTTTTGAAAATAACAACACAGATGCAGGCTTTATTACAGCATTTAATCAAAGCTGAATGTCACCCACAGCATCTAAGTACTGTGATTCCTTTTTAGAGGGGCTTCCAACAGCTCCATTAGCATGCTTGTTTACCACAGGGTCTAAAATCAGCCATAAAACTGGATGCGCTGAAAAGCATACATATAAAAATATTTGGGCTAATATTTTTATGTAAGAGATTACCAGCTTTTAAGTGCCGGTTGCTTAATAGGCTCCCATAACTCAACAGCTTTGAAAGCAATTAGAAAATACTATAAGCTGCAATTTCTGAAGCGTAATATGCCTTTTGAGCATTTGTGAGAGAAAAGGGAACTGTGGTTTTCAATACTAGAGCTGACGTGAAAATAGCAATTGGACACAGTCAACGCAAACCAGAACTAAGAAGAATGTTTCCACGCTGCTGCCTGAAGAACTACCGATCTTTTACAAAATAAAGTGCTTAAATACCACTAATTATCAAAGAACTTGTGAAACAGATCAGTGCACGTAAATCAAAATGTAAATTCCCACTAGATTTTAGGGGTTTGTTTAATGGTCCACACACTTAAACTCCTCCTTTCTGTTAGGACCTGTTAGAAACATAACATAAATGCTATTCTTCTACCAGCTCTGGTTGTAACTAACAACTTCCTCTGTGTAAATGAATAACCTAAAGAATGTAATTTAAACTTTTATTTCTTTTTCACACAGTTAAAAAAAAAAACTGAATGCTATTACCCCCGGCAGGTCAGGAAAGCAAGATCAGATTTCACTTTTTAGCTAAATAAATAATTTAGAAGGAGGCTCTAATAACTGCTGCCTGCCTCTCTCCACTCCGGCTAAGCCTTTTAATACTTGTGCAGTAAAAATCTCCACAGTCAGCCTTACAAGTAGCTCAAGCGCAACGGGAAGAATGAAAACTGCCAGCCTGGAACATTGGCCACCAACTCCAAAGTAATTGCTCGGTATTGAGGTGTATACATCAAGACCAAATGCCACGTTCAGGCAGAGTTACAGTTGACGGTAGTCATCTGGAAACACTCGACAAGCACTGGAGAGATACATGTCCTACAAACCCCAGAAATTCTGTTATACAGTTAAAAAGACAAAAATAGTAAGGGATGGAAATACACAACAGTTAATATATCAGAGTCCCAGGCAAACACAGAATTGGGTAGCCGTCTAAAAAGCAAGAAAATTGTCACTTATTCTACAGGTTAGGGAGTCTTCCTTCAGTACAGCTCACAACCGTATACAGCAACCTCAAAGAAGTAACATTTTAAATTCCTCCTTATTTGTACATGAAAGAGTATAGAAAAGGTAACTTCTGAAATAGACCTATGAGTTTTTCAAGAATAAATTGCAAATAAGGAAAATCTTGAAGTCTATCGCTAAGACCAAAAAGTCAATGAAATGAGTCATAGCAAAAGTATTAAATTCCCATTTCAAGGCCTAATATCAAAGGAACTGAATTCCTAACAACAATAAAAAACAAAGAGTGCTGTACTAAAACAGGTATTACATGTAGAATTGCAGTTGCCAAAAGGAAAAACAAACAAAATATGAATTTTAAAGAGATCAAAGTAAACGCCTGACAATTTTTACATGCATCTTGCCATAATGTCAACTACCATCTTTTCACCAGAAAGCTTAAAATCATGTAATTACCTTACAAGCATTTCCCCTTCCTGTTGTGCATGTAAGATAATCAGTCTAGAAGAGAAAAACATTTGGAGGGGTTTAAATAATAAAAAACCCCACCACTGAAATATCTTAAGGAAGAAAACTGTGGGTGGAAGAGAAGGGCAGCAGGCCAGCGCTTACCCATCCCAACAGCACTCCATTAAGACCTCGCATGTGTTCTAAGCCTGAACATCCTATTGCACATAATAGTGTCTAATCTTAACTGTGCAGTTCAGTTTATTTATAAATCAATTATGTTTTCAGAGATGCCCCATTACTAGTAATACAGTGGGGGTTAGGAAATGGGTCACATCAGGGTTAACCACTTTGAATGAAAATAATGTTGCCTGCCAGAAAAACGCTCATGAACACAAACCAACCAAACTGCGATTTGCCTAGCAAACCATCCATAAATAACATGCAAACAAAGAAATGGTGTTGATCTCAAACTAAAGTGCCTCTCATTTAAGAACAGTAAGCAGTAGCAGGTACCAAAAATATCTTTAATTTGGTTTTCTTCTCTTCAAACCGAACTTGATGTCTAACACCTGAAAAACAAAAATAGTAAAGCAAAACATCATAGTTGTGTTAACTGTGAAGCTGCCTATTAGAATTCAACATACTCAAAATGGTCTGTCAAAGCTTTATAAAGACTAATTAATAACAATGTCTGTATCTCTAATCTAATATCACCAGCCTATCAAACAGAACTAGCAAAAGTAACCTCAGCTGATCTTACAACTGAAAATAAAGCCTCTGCTGGTTCTCGGAGCAGCAGCAGCAATTATTATCCCCCCCTCCTTTTTTTAAGGGAAAGAAAATAGGATAAAAATTAAAATTAAACAGAAGCTTCTAAACTCAACAGAAGGCTGCCCTTTTATGCCCTGAAATGAACTATTAATTTCTACTAAATAAACTATCAAGAGCTTTTACAGTCAGTTTCTTTCAGGAATTGGGGAAGACCAATCAAGATTTTTTCTTCTTTAAATCTTTGTTATAATTTCACAACATAATATTTTTATCATAAAACATGCAGTTGGGAGGAAAAGAGGGGTTTCCTACTAATTTTATAGGAAGGCTTGCTTTACCATACTGATATGGGGGGGCGGGGGGGGAGAGAGGTGCCAGTATCTGCAGCTGTTTCAGTTCATGTTTTTAGGAAGCTTATCAAGACCC